ACGCCTTCGCTTTTGCAGTCAAGAAATCATGGAAGTGTCGTGTACTATCTCATGACAGTGGTCTGGCTTTCACATGCCTTAGTGGAACTAAAATCACAGCAAAAAGTATCACTCTTTTATAGTTACAGTTTATCGTGAAGTAAAATAACGGGAATCGTCAGGAGCATGGAGTCATAAAATTCATAGAAAACAATTTTTTTTTTTTGTAACTAGTTCTAGGTTTAACTGGTAAAATTCCTGGATTTCAAATTCTTTTTCGGAGAGTCGAAATTGTCCAGGAAGAGATATAAAATCGACAGCCTCATAGAAATGGTATTTGCCAGTTGCAAATGACTATCAAGAAATGTCGATCATTGTCGCACTGGACTCGTGTTTTCCGGCCCCTCGTTCGAGATCCCCCGTCGGATCCGGGGGAGACTCCCATATAGAAAAAAACGGGGATGCTGGTCGGAAATTTTGAAAAGAATACCTAAGAGGTACCAAGATTCTGTTTTCTGGGCGTGGCTTAAATTTTTTTCCCCTAAGAGGTACCAACTCTTACATAACACATTATCTCCTGTCATATTTTGTTCGGCTCAATACCCTAAATGGTACCACAAAAGCACCCGCTGAAGACCTTTAGAGGTTAAACACCCCAGGAGGTACTAAAACCGCGTTTTCAACCCCTAAAAGATACGACGAGGACCCCCGTCATTTATATAACGGAATCCCCACCGCCCCCTCCCCCACCCCCCATCCCCAACCCGGGCCAACAGACTTTGTCTGAGAAAAAATATTGTTTTCTTTTAGCATCATCTTGAACTTCGATAGAAATGCTGCGCTCTGGTAAAGAATTTTCCATTTAAGGATTTTCCTTTCCTCAAAGTCAACGAATCGATGCGGAAAGCCACGGAACAAAACACCTTTTGATCATGAAGATGTCGACATTTTAATATGGCTACCAACCGAACGACAGGTAAATAAGATTTTAAAACGCTTCGGTTTATTTAGTACAGAAAGCAACAGTCGGTCCTTGTTATGGTAGTGTGTTTATGGTAATATTGAACTGTCTGACAAAGCACAATGATTCACCTGCGTGGAAGACGCTAAGGAGCAGCGACCGCCTTTCAACATCACACAGAAGAATCAATTTCCCGCACTTTATACGATGCATTATTTGTCTCTACTGTCAAAAAACTGAATGAATCAAGATTTATAATTAATCACCCGGGAAACTAGAACAATATACCTAACCACAGCACTTCGCGAATAACAAAGAAAGGTCTCGACGCAGCAATATTCTGCTTCTTGTTTCCCTTAGCATCGTCTGGTGTTTGAGGATTAAACGAATAATAAGCCAGGGCTTGACAGCGCCGTGTTTGAAAAGGACGTTTTAGAAGGTTTACTGTTATAAAACAGCTCACTATAAGAAGGAGGAATATATTTTCTATACCGAAAAAAAGAACTGCAGATTAAGCACCGGATAATTGCCGCTCTTAAAATTACGATAATTCGAAGAGGGGGCCAAGGATAGTGCAGGCTTTCATTAACACGACTGATAGCTGTTTTCGGCTTTCATATTGAAATGTGTCCCAAAATAACATTTGCCTATGCAAACAAATTACAATTGAGCGGAATTAATATACCAGGCGTACGCTTTTGAAGTTTGTGAATTTTAATCACGATTTTAATGTTGAGAGCTCCTGCGTAACGAGTTAGACTTAGAGAGATTTTTTTTCAGTTAACACGAAAACCGTTGACAAGTGTATTAAGGCGGATCGGGTGAAGGTTATTTTTGGCTTTGCAAGCATCTTTCCTGTTAAAATCTACATCAAGAAAAGAGAAAAAAGTCCTTGTGACAAGTTCATAACATCCGGTTTGGAAAACATTTCGCTGTGAAAACGGACTGTTGTTTTCTTCGCAAGTAAAGTGTACTTGCGTACGGCGTTAAGTATACACTAGAACCTCGTGGAGCACGTTGTAGAGAATTGTGCTGTGTTATTCTCGCGCGAGGACAAGCTGGTCTGTCCGGTTACCAAGACACCGCACAGAAAAATCCATATTCTCCGTCTATTATGATGTAATAATATGGAAGGCAGTGCAAATTTCGAGAGTCACGGATCGACTTTTCTCAAGAACTGAAAACCAGCACCGAGGCAACAAACAGAAGTGAGGAAAGTCGAAACATTCATGAAAAATTCTTGCAACTGTGGATTACATGTAATTCCTCGATGAAATGGAAGCATCTGCCAACGAGGGAGTCACCAGCGGCGAAGAAGCGTTTAAAAGTTGCGGAAGAACGGGTAGGCGAGGAGCGTGTACTGGCACAGATATTGCGCGCGACAAACTACAAGATATTATTCAGAAGGTTGAAGAAGTCTCCTTGAACGAAACGGAAGGCTCACAAACGAACCAAAACGAGAAAGAGACGTAGCACAAGTACATAAGGAATAACTCATTATAGCTTTTTAGTTTAAGCGCGTGGAGGAACACCGCGCTAAAATCCCGCCTCCTAATGGAGCGCGCGACTGCCGAGTTTTACATTACATCAGTGAAGTTTATTGGCATATCGATATTGTAATTGGTTGTTTGAATGAAATGGATATTTTTTTTTTTGCTTGCATCGAAAGCAGCATTCCGGTTGTTACAAAATATTCCCGTATTATTAAGCATCTGACATATGCCAGCAGGTTCTTTGGCAGTTCTATCACATAATGTTAAAAGTAAACAAACCTCAATGCTCGTTTGAATTGGAGCTTGGCGATTATTCGACTTTCAAGAAATGATATTGAACGTCGAGGAGAAGGCGGTCTAAAATCTACCTTGATAAATGTATATTCACATTTTTCACGAAAAGGCGAATTAAGCTTCTTGAAAAAAAGGATTATATAAAAAAAATTGTTTTTTAGTATCAGTTGCTGTTATTACATGTTTTATATTTGTTGAGGCACCCTCTTTCCTGTTTATTTCGTATTTCACTGTCGATGCTATTCGTGCTCTTTTCCAAATATTTACTTCATCAATTTAGAAAGCTTGTGAAATTATCACAAACCTGGTCAAGCTGATGAATTCAAAACAAGAACAATGTTTATCTTTTTAACTATTTTTCTAAACAAGTGTCGAAAACAGCAGGTGGACAAAGGAAATTGAAATTTCACACTTGAGGTGTGTCATTATAATTATAACTCGTAGACGCGAATTTGAGTGATTTTTCGAAACACTGGCGTTGAAATTATCCAAGTAAAGTAAGGAAAATAATTTTGCGAAATTTTCGGACAATTTTCATAAGTAATCATGGCTTTAAAATGTATTTTATTTTTTGCTACCTGCAGTTTACAAAAACGGCGCCACACACGCGTGCATTTTATAGACAAATAAAAGCGAACCTGACAGATTTTTAAAGCCAATCACGTGTCTAACCAATTGAACCACCGTCGTGATTTGGTGAACGCGACTTTTCCCGCGCATGGGTTGGGTCGCATTTTTTCCCTCAATCGAGGCTTGCATGTACTGAAAAATTTTCTTTGATAGGTGTCTCTCGAAAAACGTTTCGATATCTTTACGATGTCATTATCAAGTTGCAAAATGCAAAGTCAGAGTGTGTGCCCAGGGAATGACATCTGAAAATGTCCGAATGTAATTCGAAAGGTTTTCAAGTTTTTTTTTTTGACTTTGCTAGGGTGAGTTCCTTTGACCAGAAGTATCGCGGTTGCCTCCCAAAACTTCTCTCACGATTTTCACTGATCATTGCTTTTTAAAATCTATTTGCAGAAAACAACTTTCGTTAACCACAAGGGGCCTTAAGGCGATTGCAATCAATAATACTCATTGTTACAAGACTAAGTTAGTTCAGAGGTCCAATAACTATCAAAATAAAATCAAACGAGATTGCTTCTTTTCCGGTCCAACATTCTCTCAGCACTGAACCGCAGTGTTCCGAATGATGCCACACGATCACCCTTGAAGATTTTTTTGGTTGTTTTATAGCTAACGTCTCTGAAAGAACTTGCTTTAAACATAAAAGGTCCCTTTCTCTTTTTCTTCCAACTCTCTTTCCCTTCTGGTTTGTTTAACATCAGGTGTGAGTGTGCACCTACTCTGCTACCAATCAGATTCGCGCGCTTTTTTCAGTCCGTTATCGTAGCATTTTTTCGAAACATTTTAGTCATGTAAAGACCGCCACACACTAGCCGACTTTTTGTCGGCCGACGATAAATCTTCACTTGTCGGCTAGTGTGCGGTGAATTCAGACAAGTCTGCGACAAGATCGGGGCTTGTAGGGCGATATCTGATAGTGCTAGATCTCAAAATGTATTGTCGGGCCTTGTCGGCTAGTGCGGTGGACCAAGACAATTTGTCGGGGCTCGCGCGCGCCTCAACCAATTAGGAAATGTCATGAGAGTCACGTGAGTGGAATAGGCTCCATCTTGGTTTTGGATGACTCGGCCCCAAGCCTCAAAGCGACTAGTCGCGACGAAAAATCGGCTGGTGTGCAGCTCGCTGATGGCCCGACAAATTTTAACCCGATTTGACCCCGACAAAAAATCTGCAGTTCTACGACAAAAAATCCGCTAGCGTGCGGCAAAAACTCTCACAAAGCAAGCTTGCTCGCGACCGTACTGGCAGAATATCAGCCCTCACCTCGCAGTCTTTTTTTGCACGGACCGAGCGCACTGTGAAGACCCCAGGCCGATATTGTCCAAGTACGACCCTCACGCTTGGTTAAAATGATTTATTAATTAGAACCTACGGCAACCTCCTCGGCTGTATCCTTACAACATACTAAACCTCTTCCCCGTAGTATTGAATTTTGGGTGTGGACAAAGACCGGATAACAACACAGGGGAAACGAACATTTCCTCTGATTTCTTTACTTTTCGGTGACTATGAAGATTGGGCCAGAACAAGCTCGACGGATAAAATTCGTCGGAATGAAACACGGTTTGTGATAGGATGACTGCATAACACTTCAATTGAGGACCATCTGCGTATTTGTCCAGAATAAGCTATGAAGACAATTCTCAATTTCACGTTTTTACTTACGCAAAACACATTGCTACCGGGTGACTTTTTCGGCAGCTTTTTGAGCTATTGCTGAAAACGGTAATAAAACCAACACTGTACTAAAAAAGAAGGGAAATACAAAATATAGTTCAAAGCTATCACAAATTTACGTTGACTACAATTCTTTCGAAAGGATTTCCTCCGTATCGGAGACATTCCAGCCACGACGGCAGGTAAGTGTAAAAATCTATTATCTTTTTATGGGAAGTATTAGCAATATCTTTGTTTGCTTAAGTGTTCTATTGTAACCAATCATAACAACCATGTTTATCGACCAATAGACCCATTTCAGTAATTCTCAATCTGGAGGACAAAACAGTGGTTGTTCTCTCCCCTGAGAGAAACAAATCTTTCAAATGCAAAACAATCTTATGGTTTTGTCCTCCAGATTGGGAATTAACTGAAAGGGGTCTTATGGTGCCCATTCATAATTTAGGTAACGTCAATCGTGATTTGGGCTAAGAAATATATTTTTGGCGCTTACGACTGCTTCAGCGTTTTTGCCTCAATTTAGTTGTTTTACGTTGTATTACGTTATTTGCCGCCGTAGCAACTGGATAGGCGTAGCTTCTTACTAGACTACTCTGGTTCCCGTTCCGCGCTAGTCATTAAAAACACATGGCTCACTCTACAGCGTATTACAATTGCATCTATGGCAATGCGAACATTTTCAAGGCAAACAATACAGTGCAACTGAAATAATAGCGAGTAAGACCGTAGGAAAAGTGGAATGGCATTGTACAATTTGATCTCAATGGCGGAACAATGGCCAATTCCCGTTATGAGACGTGCCTGTAGGGAATCATGGTAGTTGTATTCTTCAGAACAAATATCCGGTCCAAGATGATGAATACAACTACCATGATTCCCTGCAGACATGTATCAAAGAAGGAATGGGCCATCAGGAGTCATAGCAACCATTAAAATCCGCTTTAAAAGCATAGCTCTGCCCATGTTGCACAGTATTTCATTTTTTGCACGTGCTTATTTCTGAGCAGATGGACAGCTGTCAATCATCATTTTTGAGATTATCTCGATCTTCAAACTGCTTATCCACCGTCCAGGACAGTGCGCTCAAAAAGCCCGGAAGCGTGATTGTAGGAGTCTGGGGAGAAGAAAAAACAGAAAAAAAAAATTCAAACAAGCTCAATGAACTGACAGAGATCGAGGAGAAATTAGAGACGAAAAATTAGAATTGACCAAAAGATCCATGACAATCCACAGCTTTAATAGAGCTCAGTCACGGTATTTTGAGTTATTTTGGCCACGTACAAAATTGCATTTAAATTGAAGGAAACCTGAAGATAGTAGTTCAGTAAGATAGAAAAACACCAAAGAGATAATAATAAACATGCAGTCAAGGATCAAGGATGGTTTTAAAAGGATGGATTAATTTAGGCTAAACTTTTCAAGATGCGCAAAGCACCTTTAACCGGCGTGCAGATAAAGTCGTGTCCGATAGCTTCGGGCTTGTGGACTTTCCAGCCGGGCTCGTGAATTCTGTCCTAAACTTGTCCGACGGGCAAGTGAAGTTTTTTGAGGACATTCAAATTACAGAAGTACTGTTAGAATTTATACTCGTAAGAAATTTTCTGGGGATTAGTAAGAATGACTTTCGGGTTACTGGTTAGTGTATCATAGATATACCTTGCCCGAAGAGCGAGCTCAAAAATAAGTTTTTTTCCGAAAGAATGGAATGGAACTAAGCGACCGAAATTTACCTGAATATGTCGTGCGTGGGCTAAAAACGGGATCTTTCTGAGAGTCCGGCCACTCAACTCGTGACTTTTCCTACAGCAAGAAACCAGAAATACCAACAATATTATAAGAAAATAAACAATTACAAATGCCATGTCCCTCTTTCGCTAAGTCGAGAGAGCCTGTGTAGCGTGCGAGAGCATTGGGTTTTTTTCGGCTCTAGTTTCACGCACAAGAGCCAAAAAAAAATAGACCGAAAAACAACGCAACCAGATTTTCGCGCGTCTTTCTTTACTGGTGCTTTTTGTTTTGGTGTCAAGCTCGACGAGCTAAGCAAAAGAGGAACGGCCGGTTTGCATATAGTAAGCTATACTAAGAAGAAATTAAAAATGGACACCAACATCTAAAAGCAAAATATAATGTATAAGGGTACAGAAACCTACCTGGCTATTTCAAGAAGCTCCAGGCTAAGATTTGTAGCGTCATTACTGACGAAACTGTAAAGAAAGTTAATATACAGAAGCTTGACGGAAATCTTTCTCGCTGTAATAAGTTATCGTTGTTCAAGTGATTCACGAGGAAAAGAAGACTGCGATGAAAGTTAAAGCGTGCTGAAGTTAGAGTCACCATACTTCGGTTGAGTGAGACGTAAAATGTTGAGCAAGAGAAAAACGAGTGGGTTCACTGCACGGTTATGGACATTTTATGCCCTCATTTCCATGGTTCGCATAAGACGGCAGACCAAGGAAAAATACCAAAAAACGTCCTCAGTTTGTTTTTGTTGTTGTCCAGGGTTCGTACCCTTTTTCAGAAACAAATTTCCAGGACTTTTCCAGGATTTTCCAGGACTCAGATTGATTTTTCTCAGACTCTAAAATTCACATTAACCCTTTCACTCCCAAGATCTTAATGTTAATTCTCCGTACTGTCTGCCATACATTTCATAGTTTTTTACTTGAGTTTAACAGAGTTCCAGAACTTTCCAGGACCAGTAGCCCTTTTCCAGGACTTTCCAGTCCTGGAAAATGCCGCAATAAAATTCCAGGACTTTCCAGGTTTTCCAGGACCCGTACGAACCCTGTGTTGTTGTTGTTGTTTTACAGCAATCAGAGTGATTGCAGCACTTGCCTACATTCCACACGAAAAAGTACATGTGAGTTGCCGGGAAAGAGACACTGGATTGTTGACACAAGATCTAAAAAGACTCATTGGAACTTCACTTACCGCAATACCTCCAAGTCTCTGTAAAGGCGATTTTGTTGAGAAGAAGGGAAAGGAAAACAGTGTCAATACGTTAAAAAAATTCATTTGAAATGTAAGGAGGCAGAGTAAAAAAAAAATCAATGAGATTTAGCAAACCTTATGCCGAGTATCTGCTGTATAGGTGAGATAATTCCAGCCTGCAGGAAAAATAATGAGAAAACAACACAGTGATTCAATGTGACAACTCGATTATATAGCATTAAGAATTCAGTAGGTATCAAATTTATTACCCTCATAAGTTCAGTTATACAGGAGTGATAAATGGAGAATATCGCATTAACAGATGGAGGTCCAATGTACTGTTTGATATCTGCCCTGTGGATATTAATAAAAGTATTATTTACAAACAACTTTACGAATTAATCTTGTTTGTTTTCTTTTTTGAACATTTGTTGTAGAAAAACATTAGACATTTAGACATTACTAAAGACATTTAGACATTACCGGTAACTAAAGACATTTAGACATTAACTAAAGATAATACTAATGTGACACTTTTTGCTTCATAAGATCTGTGTCCATAAATGATTCTGAACCATAAGCAATAGAGTTTGCAAATTGATATCTTGCACCTAGGGACCGTTCATTTTTTATGAGGGAGGGGGGGCTGGTGGGATTTAGGAAGCACCATTTAAAAATCGCATGACCCCCCCNATTATTTCACCAATGCTGCAAGAAGCAGAATCACCACCAACCTTGAGCAGGAAGTCAGAGATTATGTTTACACCTTCATGTACCCTGAAGAGTACACCCTGATGGAAACCATTGCTGCTTCTTGCAGCATTGGTGAAAGAGACTCCCATAGCAGCACAAGCGGCGACGAAGAACTCGACAACAGCGAAGATGAAGATGAGTGCCAGTGAAAGTTGCATTCGAAAATAACAGTGTTATATACTTCTTTTCAGTAGCTACAAATGCTTTTTCTCGCCAAACGTTTTTTTAAAGCAGAAGGAAAGTTTGTAATAAATTTGTATCCTGCCTTCTATGATTATTCTATAGCAATTTTTTTGATATTCAAACATTATGCCATTTTAAAGTTTTACTAAAATATTTCACGTGAGCCCCCTTTTCCCTTATTTTTTTGGAAAGGGGCCCCCCTCGAAAGCCATTTTTTTTCACACGCCCTCCCCCAAATCCCACCAGCCCCACCTACCTCATAAAAAATGAACGGTCCCCTAAGTGTTGTCTACTGCAGGAGTTGCCACCCTGTCCATAAGGAAGCTTACTGACCTACTCAGCTACATGTAGCTTGTGAGATTAGTAAGTGTCAAAATACAATATATTTGTAATTTCATTTATCAACATACCTGTCAACAAATGCTAAGTCAATAGCTCCCGTAACATTGGAGGTGGTGAGAATGATTACATTGGGAAATCTGAAACATCATCAAAGAGAACTACAGAAACTGCAGTAGTGTTGTTACTTACCACCCACCCCTGAATGCCATGCTTATCAGTTTCCCACCCTGGATGGCATGCTAGTCAGTCCCCATATTATATTATGTTGTGAAAGAATCAAATAGCTGTTATCTACCCCCGTCCCACCCCCACGCCTGATTGGCATGCTATTCAGTAACCCCAACCCCGATGACATGCTAGTCAGCCCTCAAATTCAAGAATCAGGAACCTGGATGTGCTGTTAAATACCCCCACCCACTCCCAGTAAGTTTCCCTTTCTCCCCCACCCCCATCCCCTGGATGGCATGGTAGTCAGTCCCAAAATTGATTTTATATGTATAGGAATGAATAATTTGTTAACTGCAATTAAATTTAAATTATCAAGGATATTATCTGAAAAGCTAGTTAACAATCTTATTCCCAGGGCTTTTCCCTTAGAAATTAGGAGGGCTGGGAATGAGGTTGGCTAGTTATTTAAATCATAAATGATATATATGTCAAGAGCACCTTTTAATGTGATCAATTTGAGTAAGCAGAGCATTAACTACTCTTATTGCATCTGATGGCTCTTGGCCCTGCATTGCTGACTTACGAGCTGCAGTCAAACTTTCAACCTGCAACAACAAATACACGTATACCTCAAAACTAATTATGTGCAAATCAGATATGATTTGAAAGAGGATTAGTGAGCGAGTAATAGGCACGTTAATTTTCTAATAGGTGTATAGGACTACATGGTTGCAGCCATCAGCATGCATTGCAGGCCTATAACAGAATTGTAGGTGTGCAATGTGTGCAGAGAGTCAGAAGTTAAAAGTTGTCAAAAGTAGCTAGCTTGCCATAAAAAATATCTCTGAAAATACTGAGTGCTGCCCACTACAAAACATTCTCCATCTACTTGAAATGGTCAGGAAAGCCCCGCGTCTATTTCATGATGTCAGCCACCTTAACTCTACTGGGCTTCTTTAGAAAAAGATGGAAAAATCTGCTACCTGCTCCAGCAACATGGCTGCCTATTTCAAATCGTTGTGATAACTCTAAGAGCATAGATTATGTAGCAGTTGTCCTAAGTTTTGCAAGCATTGTAGGGTAAGGCACATTAGTATTTAAGAACTTCAAAATACCTCGTCAATCAAAACACAAACAAGTGCATCTTTGTCATCAATTAATTCTTGGATTTTCTGGAACATTTTCATTACCAATTTACCACTCTGTTAAAGAGAAAAGGAAAATTTTATTAGGAAACAAACAAATAACAATTTCATCAATTCAGCTAGCTAGGCCCTTAGAATTCTGCTATGAAAATGAACAAATGAAACCAGACATGTCAATAGAACAGCATTATAAAAGTTATTTAATTATGATTCTATTTATTTAAAAACTTGCCTCAGAAAACCACTTTGAAAACAGACTGTGACTATTTATTTCAATCAGCTGGCCATAAGAATATCTAGGATAAAAAATATTAAATATCTTAGTTCGGTGGCAAATGTAATAGGAACCTGCTTGCAACAAATACATTTACTTGTAAGTTTAGACAGTTAATTTAATTGCCTAATATTAGATATGATAAATACATGTATGTACACAGATTAAACTGTACTTACCGATCTGACAATCTGATGCTCAGCTTTTGAGCCAGAGCTTTACAGAGAGATGTTTTACCAGTTCCCGGTGGACCTACAAAAAAGTTATTAAACTCCCTTTAAATACTGATTCTTCAGCACTACATATTTACTTTTATTAATAATATTCCCATGGTCACTAGTTTCACAGAATTATGTCAGATTTCTGTTGGACTGTTTTGTGGGTCTTCTCTTTGTCACACAACTGTAGATGCTCTCTACCCTGTGAATGTAGTGTTGCACAGTACAGAGAGGACCACACATGGCCTAGCTTCAAAAGGTTTCTTTTAAGGACATAATTTAGTTAGGGCAAGGTATGATACATACTCTATAGTTTTATAGAAGACCTGTCAACAGTACAGGGACACAAAATGATTGTAGTCCTTACCGTGAAGAAGTATAACTCGATTCCATGATATTACATTACTATTTACACCCCTGAGTAAAAAGGGAACAAAAAAATTATGATCATAACCCTTTTCACAGATATTTTTCTTTCAACAAGGAAATGAAGAGAATGCAAAAATGTGCATGAAAGTTACAAAACCAGGATGCAAAACAAAATAATGGCTTATGGCCTGCAAGGGTTATTAATTTAATTTTTTTTCCATGCAAGTAAAGTTCAACCTTTGCTTCCCAACGCACACTAGTTAACAGACACGTATGTCATGCATAGATGGTACATGCAAGAGTCTCCAAGCGTTTTCGCCATTTTCTCCTGAACACAACAATTTGCTGGTACCAAGTTGTACATAGTCTTCTTCGCAGCCGTTATTAGGGTCATCACACAACGCTTTCTCCATTGCATGAAAACCCTAATAATGGCTGCAAAGTAGAATAACTTTACACTGCAGAGTAAAATGTCTGCCCTAAGAACTCAACAAGACAGCTGAGACCAGGTCCCAAACCACTGACAGTCAGATTTCAAGTGGTATAATTGCCAGTACCAGTACCTAACCCCCACATTGCCACTGAAAGTATCTAGATTGCATAATCTATAAAATGTTATGTATTTATTAACATAGCTATGAGAATGATTCCTAACCTGTCTGAGAAGAGTAAAGTTGTCATCGCATAATTAATCAGCTGTAAAAGAAGAACAATGAAACTTGCGTATATTGAATAACTTGATAACAATTTATTCTGGACATAATGACGGTAAAACTATCTAACTGTTTTCTTACCTGGGCTTTTACATCTGAATCAAATATCAAACTATCCCAGATTCCATGAAAATCCTCTGAGAAAAAAATTAAAATTTTTGAATTTACATTTTGTTCCTAGAGTTTCTGTAATATAACTGTCAAAATTGATCCCCAAAGTCTTTGAATTATGTCTCTCTATATAGATGAAACAATATATTTGAAATCAAAGTATTTACATGGGAATTTAATATTGAACAACTATCCTACATATACATGTATGTATTTCAATCACTAACATGTGATTTCTGTAAACTGCTACTGCATGTCAAACCTGAGGGGCCTGTGCCATTGACAATAATTTCTTTCCCTATTACTCAAATTTCTGTCTGGGTCTCAAACCAAGCCACTCTGGAAAGTTTTCAGGAAGGTTATGTCACTTATTATAAATTTTGTGTTATGTTTTCACCCCTTTCAAAATGGTGAACGACCAAAAAGCCTACTGTATGTGCAAGTAACAAAAGCAAATCATTTCCCTCTTCTAGAAGTTCACATATAACATTCACTCTAAAAAGGACACATATCAAAACAGTCAAAGGTTGACTATGATGTATACCACAGGGAAGAAGCCAGTGATTGGCAGCTGCGATATCTTCTTCTAACTCTTCAGTAGCTGGCCCATCATCATGCAGCTGGAAAACATGGATTGCTAGCTTGCTGTTCTTGAGATTGCTCTGAAAAACAAGATCAACAATCATGATAATTATAATATAGCAAACAGTACATTTAATGGCTATACGTTTATGACCATTTTGACTCTAGGATGATGTGGTTTCCAAAATGAGTCCAATTTTTCTCACACCAGTCCCACCATGTAGACCCTTGGATGGACAAAGCTGTGTTCTAGAATCTCTGGTCAAAAATCCAACATGGGCAGCTACCTCATAAAAAAAAACCTCAAAAATTGAATTCTGTACAATTTATGAGAAGCATAGTTAAGACACTAGACAAAGGATTGCATCAACCAAATTTGAGCAATGTAGCTGTACTGGAAAATGTCTAGTCACATTTTCAACTTTGCATACGTTTGTCAATTACCTTTTATACGGCTTTGCAAGTTCAAGGAAATAATCATTACATACAAATGTAAGGAAGATTTAAAGCACAAATGGACGCATTCAATTTTTAATAAAAATATTTGCCATCCGATTTCCATACAAACACTCTAATTTCTGACAAGTGTTGCTTTCTTGTCAAGATGACTTCCAAAGGCTGTGATAAAATGACAAGTTATATTGACCCAATATAATTCCTTACCATAATTTCAGTATTCATATAATTATGGAACATAATCTGCAAATCATTAGCTGACCTGTCTGTCCTTGGACACCATCTCTGTATCACAGACACACACAGACTTAACATGCTCGGTTAAAAACCCATCTGTGAATTCTGTGAAAGTAGTGTCACCATAAACTGTTGCCTCGTACATCAAAAACTTCCTCACATGTTCTTTTATAACGCCTGGACGAGCCGTGCTATGAACACAAAAGATTGGAATTGAGTTCTGCTTCAATTGAACCTCTTCAATTCCACAGAAATTTAAAAATAAGCCTTGAAAAACGGAAAAATTATTGGACGCTTGTTTCTAAAGAAAGAGGAGATATAAGCTTATATAAATTATTCCGCAAAATCCGCTTTAATAAAAGTAATTCCAGATAACGAATGGTCAAAAATCCACTGAGCAAAGAACTTAAAACAGATATATATTCACCTGCAAGGATCTTGGAGAACTTCGACATGGTAAATAAGAGGAGCCTGCGATGGGAGAGCCTCAGAGAGATCGTGGACTTGCTCCATAATAGTGATTAATTTGACCTTGTGAAAGTTTTTATTGCTTCAAATCCGCGATACATCTTTAAATTTCAAACTTATTTACTGCGAAAAAATGTTTTTCGTACGTTCAAATTTTTGCGCCAAGAGGAAATGAGCCCGTAATTAATAACAGCGACTACTCTCAAAATTCACAGGCGCCAAATTAAAACATTGTTTCTGCATTATTTTCAACCAGCGGACAAACAAATAAAATAAGCGTAGGCCATTACTACGCAGTTTCCGTTTCCGGAAGTTCCGCGCCATATTTTGAACGGAATATCTTGCAGGAAAAACATGTCACTTCCATCAGAAAAAGTTCACGAACTGAAGCAAATCATTCACAGCCACCTATCGCAAATGAACGTGCATTCCAGGATTAAGGAGTACGTAGACGAGTCTTTTAGAGGGGACGATCCTGAAAGCTCGGGAATCGATGAAGCGGGGTTGCTAAATGCTCTGAAAGAACGAGGTATCGTTGATGATGTGATGAACACCCTAAAATTCGAAGGCCTTGAAAGGGAACCGAGACGATCAAAAGATAAAGGGAGGCCAGACACTGTCGAAGAAATTCCCACAAGAGGTTAAGTAATCTGCTTTGGCAGCAGAAATGTTTGTATTAAGACAATCTGTTCGAGTAAAGCCAGCTTGCTGCAACTACGTTCGCTTCGCAGATTTTTAAACCGCTTATAGGAAGCTTGATGATATAAGCTTATGTTTAAGTTTTAATCGCATGTTGTGTTTCTTAGTTTAGTAGTTCTGTAGTCAATGTATTCACGACCGGCCGACGGTCGGACAGACAGACAGGTGGACAGACTGACTGACTGACTGACTGACTAACTGATTGATGGACAGACGGACTGAATAACGGACGGAGAAACAGTGGGACTGACGGACGGACAGACTGACTGACTGACTAACTGATGGATGGACAGACTTATTGAATGACTGATGGACAAACAGTTGGACTGACTGACGGACTGACAGACTGACTGAAATAGTCTTAACTTTTCTTATGGCTATGTTCATAGTTGTAATGACATGCCATGGATTTGATGAAAGAGGAAATTGAATATCAAAATGTTGAGGAATTATGTGACAAGCAGAAATATGCAACCCAAGGCATTTTTCATTTTTATGAATGATACACAATGTAGATGATTAACATTATTTTCTTGTATGTTGCAGTTGGAGTGGATCCCACCAAACGTTACCTATATCTTCAGATTCTTGGTGGAAAAGCATTTTTGGAACATCTACAAGATCCTGAACCAATGCCAGGAAAAGTTACATCTACGTTTACCTTATATGTTCACTTTAAAGGACAGAGATTTCGATCCAGGCCTGTTCCTTGTGCATGTGAACCAGACATAAATGAAGGTTAATCCACATATTTTTAATTATAGTTGGATGTAAAGTTGGGCTGAGAAGGCTACAGGCCTCTCCTTCCCCATGTTCATCTGCTTTGTCTTGGAAATTGGGGAGGGTAGGTTTGAACTTTTTTGGGTGACTGTTCAAACCTATCAGAGTTATGCTCTTTTTGCAAATTCCACTGCCCCTGTGTCCAGATTTCCTGGATCGTTGGCTTTTGGGCTTTGGACACTCACCTTGATTCATGTTCTGTAATATTGATACCCTCTTGGGATTGGATGCTGGGCTATCACAAGTCTTCCCCGTTGCCATTTTACATGCCATTTTACATGAGGGCGACTTGTTTTACCTAAAAAAACAACACACAATATTGAGCTACCATAATGATTTGATTTAGGGTCCTCCTTCCAGTAAGGTCCCCTTTGTAATAACAGTTCCCCTGAAGTGATGTTTTCATAATAAGGGGCCCTATTCTAATAACTGACCCCATCCATTAATCAACCACATCCGATAAGTGCCCCCATACAGTAAGTACCCCCATTGCAAAATTGACATTTAAGACAGTGACATAGAATAGACTGATTACTCAAGTGAATAATATTATTATGAATTCTGCTCATTTGAATGTAATGAAAGAAAGAAATGCCTCATTCCTTACAAGTGCCCCCTCTTCAATAAGTGCCTTCCCTTGAGCTACCAAAAATAATCAGCACCCTCGGCACTAAATTGAAATATTAACAACAAGTCAAACCCTTGACCTCTCTTGAATGAGATTTAATTATTAGCTTCTGCTTCTCCTATATAATCACTAACATGGACCTTTTCCCACAGGCTTTTTATTAGAACTGCAGAAAGATGGAGGCAAAATGGCTGACTCAGCAACTCTGTTATCACTATCAGATCACATTCATCTAGTCCTTATTAAAACAGATCCTTCAGGGGACACAACACTTATTGGTTCACATTTTCTCACATGGAGAGACATTCTGTCTTCGGCAAATGGACGGCTAGCATGTTCTGTTGAAATTAACGGTGTTGGAGCTGAGGCTAAAGTACCTATGGGAATATTAGACACAAAATTTGAAATAATTCCAAGACTGAGTCAGGTAAAGGTGCATTCTAGCATGGCTACATAGGTTGGCTTTATTTAATTATTAATTATTAACTTATTTAATTTGTAATTGGCTGGGAGCAGGTTAATTCACCGTTAATTTTTGATTGGCACTGCAGTGCAAATTAAAACTCATGCATTCGCGATTTACACATTCATAATTTTTAGTCTATTTGGTTAGATTTTTAGGTTTTGAAACAAAGCCCAATTACTCAAAGTTAAATAAAGTATTTATCTATTTATCTTCAACAAGGTAATATGAGAGCTATCATCTTTTATTGATAATAACAATGTTTAAAAAAATTACAGATCTTAACCAAAGATGTCATAACAGCACAAGTTAACTTGGAACACTCCAGAATTGCCGAGAGAGAAAGACTTTTCTTAGTTTATGCAAAACAGTGGTGGAGGGAATTTCTGCAGATTCGTGCATCGCACAGTAACAGACTTGTTAAAATTTTTGCTCAAGATGAGTGTGGTACAAATCGTCCAGTGTGTTCGTTTGTGTGTCCTCTTCGTGCAGGGAGACTGCTCGACAGTCCTCGACAGGCTGCAAGGTTTGTTAGTCTGTTGGGGTATGAGCATGCGCCATCAGTAGGTGGTGGAAAGGCAGAGATGTGGAGCAGTTTACATGCATTTCTGTGCAAAGGCAAAGGGGTAGGTCAACGTTTTAAGGAAAAAAAAGATGATGGTGATGGAAGACCGGAGTGAGGAACTCCGCTACTGAGGGATGGACCATTATTTTATTGAGGGGGGCGGGGGCGGGGGTGCTTGGACAATTTCCCCCAAAAAATCCCTGCACAGGAAAAATGGTGAAAGAGAGCGACGAGCCTACTGGGAATAGTATCAAGCTAAAAGTGGGGTACAACACTTTTTTACTGAATTCCCTTTTAGCATTTGTCGTGTATGCCTTTAGAATGATATGAAGCCACTCTTTTATTATCCGGAAACCTTTCTAACCTGGAAGTTTCAGTTTAATTGGAATGTTATAAATATATGTAAATATGTTATGAGGAAAATTAAATCTGCGAACACAGATAATATACATGTGATCGTTGTCTCTCTCACTTCCTCCAATTTTCTGACATTCCTAATTAAACTGGTCTTTGTTTTTGTTTACTTTTCACATCAAGGACTGTGAGGACCACGCAGTTCTGTTGTGTAGTCTCCTGCTGGGTTTTGGCCTCAATGCGTATGTCTGTGTCGGCACCAAGGCTAAAGGTGCAGCCCACACTTGGGTTATGACAATCAGCCCCGAGGGAGAAGTCGCCTTTTGGGAGAGTTTGACCGCTCACAGGTGTGTAAACATTTCCTAGATTTGAAACCAAACTCATTGTTTTATATTGTCATCTGAAAACCTTTCTATCGGACTGTCACTGAACTCAGTGACGGTTTTTATAAGTTCAGCGCCGAAATATTACTCTTGATCTGACAGGTACGCGCATCGTCCTATTAACCCAGATGATCCTCCCGCCCTGAAGCAATCACGCGCTGATCACCCGTACAGGACAGTGGGATGTGTGTTCAACCACCGCTCCTTCTACGCCAACAGCCAGGTCAGACATCAAGTTAGCTTGAATGATCAGATCTTTCTATTACTCTGAAAGGGACTCTGGTGACGCCCGATTGCCTTCAAGGTGCATAACCTTGCACTGCACTTGCACTGCGCTACGGTGTTAAGCGTGTAAAAGATGAGGAGGTTTTCTGCATAAACAAATTTAGCAGTTGGTGTTTTTAAACACATACGCCATGTTAAAAAATGGCGTCGTTGCCGTTAGACTGCACTAAATTATTCTTGTATCAGACATTTTTTCGAGATTCAGCAGTGACAGAGATATCACGTTTATTGTTCATAGCCCACAGATTCGGTTGAGGTCTGTCAGTTTGAGCTTCAGAATGAAACGCGATGGAAGAGCATGAGTGAAGAAGCAATAAGATCTGTGTGTGGGCCTAAACTGCTGGTAAGAGTTAGTCTGTTATGATACCATAAAGCGGAGGATCCTCCCCTAGGTTTAGATGCATCTCAAGTATTCATAGAACACTTAGGATATTTCTTAACCCAGTTTCTCTAGGACTGGTTGGGAGGGCTCCTTGAACAGAACAGAGCAATAACCATTAGGCCGTTATTTCACTAATCCTATTCCTTATATATGCAATAACGACGTAAGCTTGTCGTGTACTTGTCGTTCCTATCTTATTTATTGTTCGACAAAACAAATCGCCTGCCTTGTTTGCGTGTAATTTTTAATGTAGGTTGTGTAACGTGTCTGTCTCTATCGCCGCAGCCTAGTGGTCCAGTCTTTCCTCCTCTGTACCCTCCCAGTGTGGACTCGGCCCTAGTTAGTAATGACATGGAGCACGAGCTGAGGAGCCTGGTGACGGATCACAGAAGGGTAAAGCAATCAATTGAATGAGACAAGGAAAATAATCCTTCTTGGAGTTTCCAAAGTTTAACTAAGTTATTAACTTATAGAGTTCTCAATTTTTTTTATCCTAAGGATCTTGGCTTGAACACAACGTGGGATGACGAGCTAAGTTACATTCTAACTCCAGCGCTAGCTGCGTATGAATTGGAACACAGCACAGGAGTTTCCGCCGGAAATGAAGAGTTTCAACAAGCCATCAGAAGAGCAATCCCGGACGGGCATACCTTCAAAGGGTTTCCTATCCAGTTCGTACACCGCAATGCAAGACGGGCTTTTGCCACGTGTCTAAGGTGGGCTATCATACGAATATTATAAACTTGGATGCGCTTGCGCGGAGGCACAATGGCCTCATGGTTAGTGCGCTCGACTCCGGGTCGAACGGTCTGGGTTCGAGCCCTGGCTGGAAAATTTGTGTTGTGTTCCTGGGAAGGACACTTCACTCTCACACGGCAACAGGGCCTCTTTCTACCCAGGCTATAAATGGGTACCGACGAATTTAATGCTGGAGGTAACCCTGCGATGGGACAAGCATCCCATCCAGGGGGGAGTAAAAATACTTCTAGTCGCTTCATGCGACAGAGACGGAGATATGCACCGGCCTGACGGGCCACTTGGCTCTTGAGCAGACTACCTCACCTCACCTTACCTTACCTGCTTGTATGGTATCATACGGAGAGTCACAGAAACCGAGCCAAGTTAAAGGTGCGAGATTTTAAGGTGCCTCCCATTTCCATTCTCGCCATGGTTACCAGTGTCCTCACTTCCCAGTAAGTTCCTGTTGTTTTATAAATACTGTTCTACAAAATCAAACCATTGCCGGATTTTCTATCAACTTGCGGTGTTTTGGAATACTTCAAAGCATTATGGAGAACTATTTATTTTTGTTGACACTATCTTTAAATAACTTGTGCATTTTTGAAAGAGCGAAAAATTAATTTTTCAAAGGATTTGTCATTTCCAGGTCTCCGGTGTGCGAAGAGATCATTTGCTGCCGAGGAGATCACGTGAGGCTGGCAGTTCGGGTCCGAGTATTTACCTACCCTGAGAGCGCGTGCGCAGTATGGATCATGTTTGCTGTCAGATATCGGTCAATCTTGTGACCATAATTCTCTATTCCTGTGATATATTACTTTAGTATCACCCAACTAGTGCACCAATGCAAATCCTGCATTTTAATTGGTTACGCTACTAGAGGACTATTAGTAATAGTCCTCGAGCAGCGAACTTGGCGCAATCGAGCGTGACGCTTTCTTTCGTTTTATTTCCAAATAAATATTTCTTCAACTTGCATTTGCAAACTTTATTATTGCCTTTTCTGTCCGACTAATTGGGTGATACTAAAACAATTAGACCCTTCGCCCTCAAGGACCACGGGTCTAATTGTTAAATAGGCATTTCACAGAATTGAACGCTGAATCCGGTCATTTCACAGCCCATCTCAATCTAATCACATGACAAAATCTAGTTGTTATAACAAACGCTAAGGATTCTTAGAGTATTTCCTATCAGATTTCGCCACACATTTCAAACTTGATCAGTTTCCATCGGGCGTACTATAAATGTTTCCGCGCTCTCGTACGACGTTTTACTTAGCCCACGCCACACGTTAGATTTAGACCTGGCAACCGACTTCTCATCCAGCTATCTGCTTATTTTTCGGCATGACCTTCCGATTCATTTCAATCTTGCCTAATTTTGACGACTCATCTTCTTCGAAGATATTCTTGGCTTTCAGCTGTGTTTTGCTTTCGCAGTAAGTGACGTAACGTAGTGTTATGTTATGTAACGTAACGACCGTTAGTCTGTCTATAGAGCCTCTAAAAACCGCAGGATGTTTGAAAAAGCCCGAACGCAAGGGGAAAGACTGAAATAGTTTCATCGTTTTTCGCCCGCTCTCGTGCGCTTGCGTCGCTCGCGTTCTCAAAGAAAAACAACTCGTAGCAAAAATATAAACTTCTGTGGAAAGACTAAACGACGGGAAGTGGATCTGTTTTATATTATTATCATTTTCTTGTATATATGTAACTTATAATCCTGGTATAACTAATGTAAATAAAATAAAAAAAAAAAAGATGTTTCATCAAACTAGTGAACGTCAGCCTGCGAACAGGCTCCCGGCGAGGGCGGAAAAAATTCGGCGAGAAAATTCGGAGAGAGAAGCGATCGGAGCAGGACGTTTATATTGTTTGTCCTTCGTTCGGGCTCGCCGGGAGCCTTTTCGCAGGCTAAGTGGACATTTGCAATTTGAATAGATAACGTAATGAAATATAATCTTTTCCATTTAATTCTGACGCGTTGTCATTAGTTTTAACAGCTTTATGACATCTGCTGGTTTTCCGGAATCTTCTGAGCTCTATAAATAGCAAATTGCGGTAAGTGCTTTTCTCTGCTCACGTCCGCGGAATAGGTTGAAGCACGTTCAAATTTAAGCTCGGACGGAAGCCGTTGAAACTTTTTTCTCTTTTTCATTTATTTTACGTGTGAAAAGAGTTTCATTTTTCATGCATCATCATGGTTGTAATAGTTAGCTTCTAATTAACTTCTCGTATTTATCGACTGAGGACATTGCACTAGGATTCCAAACCAAAATATGTCTTAGAATATTTGTCTTTATTTAAAATTTTCAGTTCAATAAAACGTGCTTATAGAGGCAGGTGCCAAGTATGACAGATGTTTCAAGTTGAACATCACGGAAGAATTGCAACAGAGCCCCGACCTCCTGGCCCCGACTTACGGGAGCTCCATTAAAACGACCGCTTTGTCATTACGGCCAATATATACCTTTAGGTCCATATGATATCCATTACAGTTCCATTAATCTGATGTGCAGGTTGATGTGACCAGCGACGACTCTTAGAAGGCCTAAACATTGTTTTCTTTTTAAATTTACTTGATAAGAATATATCTAGAACGACGGCCTGGCGAGAAAAAGACATAAGGAAATAGAGATCATTTAGTTACTGCAAAATGTGTCAGTTGCGCTCGCTGTACAGCGAACAGAAGCCGATGGATATTTGGAATTAGATTTTCAACATATATGCAATAAGCACTCCCTATTCCCCCACCGGAACTCCCGAAAACAATACCCCCCCTAATAAAAAACCTCAAAATATTTTTCCTTCTCCCAGTTTTTATGACAACGGCTATGAACTTATATTAAGATTCAGCTCTGAAAGTAGATGATATCTTCCGATTCTAATATAGATAATAAACGCTCCCCTCTACGGTAGAACTTGTTTTGCATTTTATGTTGTCCGTTCAGAGTGATATCAGAGCTGTTTTGTTCGGTTCATTAGCGCCTTCTTTATGCAGTACAGCACTGAAACTCGTTTTGTAAAACAGTGTGAAAGGCGATATAATAGTTCCTTCACCGTTTGATGCTAAGAATTTACTATTTTCCCGTGGGGTTATACGTTGCCTCCCGGCCGGATATGAAGCTTTGCTTAAGTGACAACACCTTGTTCAGTCAGACTTCGAATATTGATTTAACATGTATTTCCTTTGCGTTGCATGTTTTCCTAAAGGCAGGTGATAAAAGTCCTTTTGCAAACATCCGACATTGCAAAATAGAAATTTCTCTCGAAATATTCAGAACGGCTTGGGATAACCCGGTGAGATAAGTCAAGAAAACAGCAACTCAAAACGGTAGGTCTCTCACTGGAAAATAAAAATCGACATTTCACAACGAAAGATTTAATATGTTTTAGCGTAATTCGTTTGTAAACAAACACTTTTAGAGGGATTTTATAACCCTTGACGTAGTCCCATGTCGAGGGATGAAGTAATTTTTCATTAATTAACTCAAAATGCTTTTTATGACATATCACGTGACAAAGTACAGCTTTTTTGTTTACTATCTATGAAGAAGTCCAGCAGGTAGTCTTTGTTGTATCTCCCCAGTCCCTAAACTTCAACGCAACGCACAACTATCTGAGTTTTGATACGGAAATTTCTCGGGACCTCACGAAAACACTGCAGTAAACAACACGACATGTTGCTATCGAGTCAGGAAGCGTCTGCATTCGCCGGAGTACTCTTCCTTATTTTCATTTTCGGCCTGGTGGGTAACGTGTTAGTTTGTTTGGCGATTTACAGCGACAGAGATCTTCGACAGCAGTATTCGAATTATTTCCTTTTTAATCTGGCGGTGACTGATCTATTAACCGTCACATTTGTGATACCATTCTGCGCTGCCGCGTTGATCCAAGAAGACTGGAATTTTGGCGTGGCGTGGTGTCAAATAACAGCCTTTGTATATTATAGCTTGGCTATCGTTGGACTTGAAAGCTTGGCATTCATAAGCTGGGATCGCTTTTACGCCATCATTCATCCGCTTAAGTACAGGGCGGACGTAACGCTGAAAAAGATTTGTACAGCCATCGCTTTCAGTTGGTTTTGGGCTGTTATTTTTACAATCCCTTGCGCCGTGCTAGGCTGGTTCAGATACGGGCAGTATGAATCCATGTGTACGTATAACTTCTCCGGAACGGGAGATAAGTGGAAAACGCAAGTGATAACTTACAGTATTTTCACGATTGTGCTGTGTGTTATGATTCCGTCGGGGGTAATTCTATTCTGTTATTTTCGAATTATTTCTGTAGTGCGCCATCAAGGAAGGCGAGTGGATACGATAACGTCTGCAGAAACACCCAAAACTTCCAGGCGTCATGCGTGGAGAAACTACTACAGATTCAAAGGTTTCCGAACGATAACTCTAGTCATAGTTTTATTCATTCTCTCGTGGACTCCTTTCAGCGTAACGCGACTTATCAAAACGGTGACATGGAATCACGAAATTATTCCAGCGTCTGTGGACACATTTGCTACTGTGTTATCATTGCTGAGTACGGCAGCTAACCCCGTGGCTTACAGCCTGTTTAGAAAGGACTTCAGAAGGGCATTTAAAAGACTGTTTCGACAAGCGTGCTTTTGTTCAAACAAACTAAGAAGAGACCAAACTGAACTGGAGTAGGAAATGATCTCTAATAACGTGATCCGCGACACTGTTCACGTCGTTGGGTTTTGATTAATCAGTAGCAAAAATGAGCACGGAATGAAAACTTCTGTTTCCTGCCAGTACACAAGTGAAGGAAATTCCCCGCGAATCGTCATTTTGCAGAATTCTTTATATACACCGCCCATCAAACAAGCCGATCTTCGGCAACAGTGAAGGCTGAAAATCCGTTTTTAATTTTTAGGACAGGAACTGACACCTTTAATTATAACTACTGCTTAAAGCCTCAATTTTCTCTTAAGATTGTGTAGAGGTCTATAAAGGCGACAACTTCATAACGTTTTTTTAGCCGCAGAATTAAAAAAATAAAGTCTTCCCTCGTGAAAAGTAGATCATTATTTACTTTTTCTCTTTCAGTTATTAAAATGGCTGGTCTTGCAGTGAAATTCATTCAACATCGTCGTTGTCATTTTTTGTCCTTTACAACTGTTTTTTTTTTTTTTTTTTTTCAATATTAATTCTGCTGATCTCATTATTTTTCATCTTTCAATCAAGATAAAGGAGTGTTAGATAAAACAAAGATCTTGTAACATTAGCATGTCGAGTTTGCGTTGCTTTACAAACATCATAATGTGCAATCATACTGACCCGGTAAGGTGTTGCACAGCTTTTGCAATTGTTTTCATTATATCCGGTTTTATTAACGTAAATCCAGAAGATGTTTGAAAAAGAACTTCATAACTTATCCAAATCATTTGAGCAAAGCTTGCTTCAACCCTGTAGTAGCTATTTAATTTTAAAAAAATCGCTATTTCGGCGCGTCCAAAGAACAGTCAATTTTTGTAACCTTGCTTTCTTGGTGTGGGGTAATTTAGCCGATCCGTTCTAATAATTTTCCACAAAATATTCATCATCCTTTACAACTTCTGTATCTTGGAAAGAAATTGCTTGGAATTCATCAAACACCCACTATACACCACCAACAGACTAGATTTCAGTATGTCATCAGAATAAAGTCATTTTTATTTATGGCGCCATGATATATGTTTTTTAATCCTCTAACAACTTGAACTTGCTATTTACATGACCGGCTTAGCCCAATCAAAAAAAATATACACCAGTATCGACGATACTATCACAAATTTTAACTTATTTTTGCACCAGGACAGTAAAACACGATTGTTTTTCAAATTGGAAATGATCAACCTCTCGCGTCAAACTTGAGTAAACCCGGGGAAATTTTTTCTCTGAAAAACGGTAACTATTAATGCTGGAGTTTCTGCCTTTTTCGAAAGAGAGGAAACCCTTTTTATTCCCAGCGCACAGATAATGAACTTCAGTATGATGCCGAATAGCGGTTGCACATTTTATTGAACTTGTGATCAGGTGAATTTGCTAAGCACAGGCGATGGGTAACTTTTTCACTGGAGACGGCATTGAACAGTTTACGAAAGGGGATTTACAGTATTGCAAAAACCATATGATATCACATTGTAAATTCGTTAATTTGGCGCCAAAACTGGCTGCCCGCGTCCGGCTCTCCTCGATTTGTTTCAGGTAGGATAATAAATGTCTTATAATTTTGAACCATGTATATGTGTTGTTCATCGTCAAATTTTTGAAGCAAATTTAGTTTTATCTTTTCTTTTGTTAACTGTGAAGAAAAAGACTATTATCGTGTCGTTTCGGTAGAACAGCTCGGTTTTGACTGCTTCGCGTGATCTCATATTACTAGTACCCTACAAGAAACCAATTTCAGGTCTTATTCAATTCTCTCATGGATAAGCTTTCAAAAGGCAATAGCATGATACTGTAAACTAATGGCTCACAAACTGACCTATATAGTTTTCAGTATAAAGAGAAACCCGTAGCCAGATCTAGCTACATAAGATATACCTTTTGTCTGGCTCTCGCTGATGCCGTGACACATTGATTTGTCACGTAGTTGGACACGTGGTGTCCAGTCTGCATACTGAGCAAGTGCAAGCATCGTGCATTTTGAAGATCTTGAAACATTCGCGATTCGATGGACGGTGTGGCTGAAGAGGCGGCCGAACGGATTCGACAACCTCGTAAGGTTACTGACGAAAAGTTTAAAGACCAGCTGCTCCATAAATTGGACGAGCTTAGAAAGGCCAACAATCTCTGCGACATAACTCTTAGAGCTGAAGGACAAGACTTCCCTGCCCATCGATGTGTGTTATCTGCCGCTAGCGATTACTTCAGGGCTCTGTTTTCCAGCGAGCTGCAAGTGAAAGAAAATCAGAGCAATCTTGTGGAACTAAACGAGGTTAAATGTTCTGTTCTTGCTGAAGTCATTCTGTTTATTTACACTGGCGAAATGAACATCGGAGCACAAAACGCGCAAGATTTGGTGATGGTCGGAGATTACTTGATCATTCCAAGTTTGAAAACAAAAGCTTCTCAATTCGTGGAGGAATCGATCAATACTTCGAATTGCATCGCGTTGGAATTGTTCGCTTCTCAGTATAACTGTGAGTCGCTGAGGTTGACGGCCATAAAGCACAAACAGCAACATTTTATTGCCTTTGTGAAGTCAAAGGACTTTCTGTCGCTTGGTTTCGAGCAAGTAAAAGATTTGATGTCTCAAGACGAGCTGCAGATTTCCGAAGAAGAAGAGGTTTATGAAGCAATAATCACATGGGTCAGGCATGATCTGGTGTCGAGGGAATGCTTTCTTCCAGATCTCTTGAAATGCTTGAGACTCTTCTCGATGTCAAAATACAGTTTAAGAATGATTTTAGATAAAGAAGAGCTGGTCACGAAAAATCCAGTTTGCACCAGTATTTTGACTAAAGGACTGGACTTCTTCCTGTTTCCGGATCAGTTTCTTGGTATGTCACTAAAACATCGCACATCTATCGAGAGGGAAGAGCATGTGGTAGTTCTCACTGGTGGGATGGACCCTGATTTGGAATTGTCTCGGAACATCAGGTGTTTAGTCCTTGCTACTAAGAAATGGCAGCGGCTGACCAAAATACCAAGCTCTTTACTAAATGCCGAATATACAGATGTTCGATGTGTATCTGCAGTTTGTGGTGGACAGTTGTTTATTTTACCAGACAATTCTGCCTCAATAAGTTATTATGACCCACAAACAGGAAGATGGAAGTCAGGGAACACTGGTCTTCCCATTGACCTCAGTCGCACATTAACTTCATTCAATGAAAATCTGTACGTGATTGGTGGTGAGAAATACCCGCATACTGTTGTTAGGTACAGTCCAATTCAGAATAAATGGAAGAAGTTAGCTTCAATGGAAACAGGCCGGGCCGATCACTGTGCAGTACCTTTAGGGGATCTCATTTACGTGATTGCTGGTTGTCACAATGAGGTCTGTCTGCAGAGTGCCGAGAGCTATAATCCATTAACCAACCAATGGGCAAAGATTCCAAATCTAGCAAAGGCCCGAAGGTTCGCTTCTGCAGCGGCTACATGTGGAAAAATTCTTGTCGTTGGGGGATTCTGTGATATGGCAGACACGGGTGATGTGGAATTTACTTGTGAAGTGTTTGATCCTTGTTTGAGTCAGTGGAGTCTGGTGGCCAGTCCTGCTGTTCCACGAGCTGCTTGTGCTATTGCGAGTGTTGATGATACTGTGTATGTGTTTGGTGGCGATAACCAGGAAGCTTGTCTCGATGACATTGTGATGTTTGATGTTAAATCCAATGAATGGCATGAAATGTCCTGTACCTTGCCAGAACCTCTATCACATGCTCAAGCATCTTTGCTAAAATTGCCAAAGAAGCTGCTGAAGCAAAGTTGACAGTTTCCATTCAGTATACTAGGCAGTTATTTTGGCAACATTTTTATCATCAATTGATTGCACCAGACTCAGGTCTAACAATGGCCATTGATCTAGTCTGAGACAACTAAAACTTTGAATTTGGGTTATTTAGTGTTGTTTTACTAGTCTCTTTAGTTGGTGAAAAAAACTTAGACCAATATTTGATTAGAGTTAAACGTTTTCCCAGTTAGTAGTCATTAAGGTAAAAGGTTGGAATGAAGTCCTGTGTTTTCACTAATATTATTGAGTGTTTTTTTAACTGTTTCTGTTTTTGTCTTAATAAAACTTAAAGAGAGGGTACAAACAGTTTTGATTTGTGAAAATGCTTCAGCCATGGCATCCATGACAAGGCACAATTGCTGCTCGACCAATAACAAATTATTTATTACAATAAATCTGTAGCTTTCTGCACACATTGCATCCCTATGAATGTGGCTTGTAATCCTCTGAACACTCTGTGTACTTTAACTATACTGAATGGTATTGATTAACAAATAGAAAACATGTCCATACCTCTATCAAGTTTTAGTATAAATCTACTTGTGTTCTATTGCGAGTGCCTTTCTCTCATTGGCTAAGCTACTAAATAACTATTCTGTTGTAGACAGTTAGTAGCCTACAGCTAACGTTGTGCAGTTGTTACAGTAACAAAATGGCAGCCACTTCTTTGCAATTTTGAAGTGTCTGTGAAGATGATTTAGCTGAAGTTTTGAGCAACCAGCAGATTTCTACTAAAACAATTAGATTATTTGTTCTTGAGTTCTTTGTGAGATAGTTTTTTCAGGCTGCACGCTCTCCAACTATCACGTGATAGAAATCTCAAGCTCTTTATCAAATTGTTAAATCTAAACTCGAGTGGAAGTTTGTGAGAATGAGGAAATGCTCTGGGAACATGAGCCACAGGCAAGTGAAGGGGTGTGTGGAAAAAACCCCTATTGAATCTTCATCTTGTGTCAAATTCTCCTTTATTTGTAGAAGGAACTGAAAAGCAATTTGCCAGGAGAATCTTGCAGTCTATCAGATGCCACTAAGGGTCTTTTTCCACACATCCCTTCAAGTGTTTCCACAGCTTTTTCCAGTTCTCACATTTACCTCTGTGGGAAACCAGATTTAATATTTTCTATTTCTTTTTGATTGGGAGGCGTGGTAGCCTAATGTTTAGCACACTGGACTCCTGATCAGGAAGTCTGGGTTCAAGATCTGGCCAGGGTCATTGTGTTGTGTTTTTGGGCAAGACACGTTACTCTTGCAGTGTCTCTCTTCACCCAGGTGCATAAATGGGTACCTGCAAGTTTAATGCTGGGGGGTAACCCTGCGATGGACTAGCATTCTATCCAGGGGGAGAGTAGAAATACTCCTTGTGACTTCATGCTATGGAAAGTGAGGTAAGCCACTGCTTTATGGACCACTTGGCCTGAAGTAGACCTTACCCTACCTTATTTTGGTAAATGTACAAATGCCATGATCCGCAGGAGTCGTGTAGGCCTGTCAGCCCTATTTTACACACAAACCATACCCTATTTCAGACTAAATACCCTATCTCAGACCAAAACCAATTAAAAACCCTACCCTTTGGGCCACTCATACCTATATAGCCCACATAAGGGAGTACCCCCCCCCCCCCCCGGGGGAGGTGACTCTGGTCTCACCCATTTAACAAGTGTACTTGTTTAATAATCGTTAGATTTTCTTTGTTAGGGCTATAAAAAATAAATTTCACGCTCTATTGCACCGATGTGAACACCTTCAACGTTTTCCAAGAGAAGCGTGAAGAGCGTGGCCGCTGGCCATAAAACTGTTTTTCTTTTTATATAACTTTCATAAAACAAATAGATTCCATGTTGCCATGCGTCTGTTCAGCAGTAGATCACAGAAGACGTTAAAAGTGGTCAGAACATCATTGACAAACTCGCCTTAATTAGTCGTGTACCAATTTTTTGCTGAGACCACATTTTGACGTCTTCTGTGATCTATTACTGAACAGATGCACGACAACATGGAATCTATTTTTTAAATAGAAAACGACGAGAGAGCCGATCAGATTAGCGGATTTCCAATAGAACACAGCTGAGTGACTACTTAATAATTGTATTCCGTCCACCAGCGCGCGCTGTTTTTGAGATGGTAGATGGCCAACGAGACGCGTAGCACCGAGTTGGCTATAATCATTTCATTTCTAACAAGCGCGACTGAGTGGGTCTCTGTAGAGTGCGGATGGCGGATGGAAAAATGCGGATGGAAAAATGTGGATGACAAAATGCAGATGGGAAAATGCGGATGATAAAATGCGGATGGAAAAATGCGGATGTCAGAATGCGGATGACAAAAATTTGAATGATAATATAGGGAAGAGGGAAAATAAGTTAACGATGTTTTCTTACATTCTGAGTTGTAAAATTAGGCCTAGAGAATTCATAGATCGAAACATTTTTTACGCCGTTTATTAAAAAAGTGAAATTAAAAAAAAAAAACGCGAAGAGACTTTGATCAAGGAACAGTCGTTATTCAGACTCCGTCCTTTACCACATCGAAGGCCTTCGGCTATTTACTTCTCCTGAGCAAATTTCCTCTGCCGAAAACCAGCATTTCAAAAGAAGTGAAACACTTCTACGGTCACAGATCGGCTACTCACTGTACCCTAGTTGGCAAGTGAAGACTGTGCACAACACGTGTGCAAAGGTGTCTCTGTCGCAAGCTGCACAAGGGTCATGGAGTTGTCCGACAGCGACGATTCTCTGACTGAATCTATCTTTGCTTCGAAAACGAGAGTTGATGGATTTAATTTAGTCGATTGAGCTTCGACCTTATCTTTATTTCGCGAAATCTTTGCTCCGCAAACCATTTCCTTGTGTGCTTGTCTAGTGAAAGCGCCGGTTCATCTTCCGATCGGCAGGATAATAAGACAGGCTTTGGAAATGGAAGATAAGAGCGTTTTACAGCTTTTGTTTTGGAACAGATTTCATGGCATTAAAATAGCGGAAACAAAACTTGAACACAAGGAGGAAACGTTCTTAAACTTTTGTAAAGAGTTCTTTTTGGATGTACTGCAGTTTATAAGCACAGCTGTAACAATATTGCAAGGCAACTTTAAAGCATAAAATCGGTGATTTATTTGAAAAAACTTTAAGGCCGGACTGGAAAAAAGACGAATTGGGAAAAGTAAAGAAAAAGTTAAAAAGAAACCGAACAACTCTTTTAAAATTAACAGTCCGCATTAAAGCCACAAAGAAACTCTAGATGAAGAAGTGCTTAAGATAGCTTTGCACGCCCTTTCCGGCAAAACCCGTCAAAGTTCGTCGGTTTTTTCACAGACACAATTAAACATATCAGAAATAAATTTTGTTCAGTGTTTCAGCCTAAGAAAGGTCAGTTACTATTGACATTACAGGGAAATAAGTTCGCATCTTGTTTTTGTTTTTGTTTTTGTTTTTGTTTTTTTCATAACAGATGAAATTGTAGTTTACTGAAGCGTATCCGGCACTGTGTGGGAATCTACAAAGACCTAAGACTAATTTTAGAAATCTGTCCCAAAAGTACGCATCAATATTCCTAACTGAACATATGGACATTCCTACACTAGCCATAACAGGAAAAAATGGTTTATAATGATCGAATTCTGTTCACGAATATTCTATTTCTCCCTACCTAAAATATCGTAAGGTATTTTTCCCTTGTCCGAATTTTATCATCCGTAATATGGTTACCGCATTTTGTCATTCTCGCATTTTATCATCCGCATTTTTCCATCCACATTTTGTCATCTGCGTTTTATCATCCGCATTTTATCATCCGCCATCCGCCATCCGCCATCCTCTGCAATCCGGGCCGCACTTTACAGAGACCCCGACTGAGTGGAATAATTTTTTTTATTAAAAACGTACCCAAAATATAGAAAACTGTACTAAAATAAAAATAAAACGCTCCAAAAAATCACGCATACGCTTACCATATTTGTAGAGCATGGTATAATTCTCATATACCATGATGGCTAAGCTAATGAAAACTCTCGAATTGCATTATCCAATGATCCAGATGGTTATTTGGAGCGAAGGTCTTCTTGATCAAAAATGCAGTTGTCAAGTTGATTCAGTGGTGTCAGTTTTTACCTTCTCAAAGTTTGAAACTTTGATTTCTAAACCAACATACACAAGTCTCACATGACGACATTAGTAAAACTTTCATTGCCACACATATTATCACTATTTTTGATTGAGAAGGCGACGTGAACTCCCATACAAACTCCGCATTAACTCACTCCCGTAAGCGGACATTCTCGTAAGCGGCCGCGGACTATTTGAGCGCGTACGATCCAAAAGGAATTGGGTCTGACTTTGAAAGTAAACATTTGTAAACAGTATCACTGCTTTTTGTTGCAGTGAGACTGTTAAGGCTAATGTGAATGCTGTCTGTAATATTATAGTTTGTTCTTTAATCACCAAGGGCCAGTCCTAGTGCGGCAGTATACAGTACTGTGTACATGCAGACATCGCCATTATCGCGGCATTGCACAAGGCAAGAAAAGAAATAAAAAATAGCAGTTTGGTGATAGTTTTACTTTCCCGCTGTTTATTGTAAGCTGCGCAAGCTCCCGTAGGTGGACATCTTTTTCTTACAACTTTAGTGGCCGCTTACGAGAACCATTCTCGTAAGC